GTCAGAGGCAGTGCGGTTGGCGCAGGATAGAGCAGGGTTTAGAGCTGTTGTGCATAGGGTCGCTATGAGTCGGAAACGACTCGACGGCACATAACTACAACAACAACATACAGACAATGAGAAAATGATTAGCATTGTTGTGTAGAAATTAACTTACAGAGTTGTGACTGAAGAAGACAGAGGTGAAGATAACAGTTTTTATGCTGCCTTTAAAAAATAACCAAGAATGGTTTGTCAGCATTTTTACTTTGCTGTTTTAGATAGAGGCGGAACTCTGGTGGCATAGTCCAGAGGGGTTACACTGCTAGCCCTAAGGCCTGCCCCTCTGGTGGATTAAATCCACTAGCCACTCCACAGGAGAGAGATGATGATCCTTCTGTGTGATTTACAGCCTCGTAAGCCCCGTGGAGGGTCAGTTATGAGTTGATTCCAACTTGATGGCAGTGAGACCAAGTTTGAGTTTAGGTAGCAGAGAATCTTTCAGTGGTTTCAATTATTATCTCCCCTAAATACAGTTTATGACTCGCCTTAAATGGCGCAAATCTAGAGAAGTAATGTAAGAGGGCTCTGATTTCTTTTGTGTGCAAATGAGACAAGTCAGGTGTAGGATGTTTAAGATTTTGTAATAAATGGCCCTCATAAAAATGAAAAAGATAGCTATCACCAGTGAATGTAATAATTGTGTCATATGCCAGGCTCCAGCATACCAATGAGAGTTGTAGGTGGCATGCTTTGTCAGTTTTCCCTCTTAAATCTCTCTCAGGTCCATCTACTGCTTTCTCGTTATTCCTTGCACTATCTCCTTGGTTCATACCTTGACTATTTCTAGAGCTACTGAAATATAGATGAATTGTCTCATCTCCCTGCTTCCAGTTCCCAGCCAGCTAGTCCTGCTTTACTGCTGACTCACTGTCTTAGACTGGGTAAAACCAAGGAAGCACGATCACATGCACGTGTGTGCATGACCTTGAGAGAAAGGCATCTGGGGAGGCTCATGAGTCCAAGTCATCAGCAGACAAGCAGGCAGCATCCCAGATTGCTGGCTTCAGAGGCTCACTAATCCAGCGGTAGTCATTGGAGAGCAAGGTTGCAGACTGCTGACTTTGGAAACTCGCAGCTTCAGAGGTTGATGAAAAGTCAGCCAGTAGTAAGGCCGGCCGTTGCTTCAAGTCTGGAGATCATAAGGCAGATAGCCAGATGTCAGATCTGACGAAAAGCTCTCTAGGTTTCTAGAGTCCATACATAGATTCAAAGCAGGCCACACATGTGGGGACATTTCCCCATCATCATATCAGACTGATCATATCTTTACAGAACCACCTATCAGCTTGCCTTGTAAGCCTCATGTTATTGTTGTGTGCGGTTGGGTCAGAACCGACCCATAGCTAACCCTCCAGCAGGTTTTCAGAGGCATTTAATAGTTTAGGAGGAGATTGCAGTGCAGCTTCTCACCACCAGGTCACCAGAGCCCCATATAAGTATCACAGAGATTAGAATTTACAACACATAAGATAGTTACATTATACTGAGAATGAGGGTCATGTTGACATACCATGTTGATCATCACACTCACCCCGTTTTACTCTCTCACAATGTTCCGTTTTCTCTTAACTTTTGTGACACTGCATTTAGTCCCCTGTTTTCTTTTCCCAGTTTCCTGAATTTATTTTTTTTTTTATCCTATTCCCACATAAACCTGTTTCTTCTCCACTTACTATTATCTGTTGTGCTTGTCTTTCTTGGTAGACTAAGAGCCCATTTTCAGGGGCAAAAGCTGTACCTCACTTATCTCTGACTGCCTCTCTAGTATGGGGTCGGTGTCCACTGGATGGTCGTTAAGAGAAGCTCGATTCACCACCAGCTACTGTGCTCTCTGATTGCTAGGGCATCATGTTAGCTGTTGTTCATATGGTTTTCAGAGGCCTGCTGTTTCAGAAGTGAATGGCCAATCCTTCCTAGTCTTGATCTGGGAGCTGTACTAAAATCTGCCTACCATGGGTGACCCCTCTGGCATTTGACACTTTGGTGACACAGCCTTGAGCATCACATCACCCATAAGTTAACCTCAGGACAGCAAACTGACAGACAGGTGCTACACTAATTAGAACTATGATAAACATGAAAGAATGTAGATACCCAGGTGACAAAGCAGTTACCAGTATGCCAGTAATTCCCCAATACAACAAACAAACAGATAAGTCTCACAGTTTATGAGGCTCTACATCCTACAATCTTCATTATGCATTATGTCTCAAACATCAGGAAAACAAAGGTTATTACCACTGAACTGATGGGAGACATCATGGTAGCTAGAAAAAAAAAGTGAATCTGTCAATAGTTTCATCTCACTAGGGTCCACAACCAACACTTTTGGTATCAGCATTCAGGAGACTGGAAGATGTATTTGCACTAGCAAAGTCCACAGTCAAGGACCTCTCCAAATTACTGAGGAGCAATGATTCTAGTTTGAGGACTAAGGTGCACTTGATCCAGACTATCATCCTTTTGATCACTTGCTATACATCTTAGAGCAGGACCCTGAATAAGGATGACAGAATAAAAATTGATGCCTTTGCGTTGTAGTGTTGAAAGTACTGACTAGCCCATGAGCTGCCATAAGAATAAATATGTCTTAGAGAAGGTGAAGCCAGAGTGCTCCTAGGAGGCAAGGGTGATGAAGCTTGATCTCACATACTTTGGACCTGTTGCTAGGAGAGGCTGTTCCTTGGAGAAGGAAATTTTGCTTGAAAAGGTGGAGGGCCAGTGAAGGAGAGGAACACCCTTAACCAAGTGGATTGACACAGCGACTGCCGCAAAGGGCTCTAGTGAGGTTGCCACAGATAAGACAGGGTTCATTCAGATCTGTTGCTTATAAGGTGACTATTAATTGTACTTGACTCGGCAGCACCTAACAGCAAGAACAGCATGTTAACCTGTGGTTCATTAGCTCTTTTGCTTTCTCTGAAGGGCATTCACAAAGACTCTGAATGATGCAGTAGGACAGAGAGTGGAATTGACTAGTTAGCAGTGATCCTATTGCTAGAGTTTGGAGATAACAGGAGGAAGAGGAGTGTATGGGAGAGTATACATATCATTTTAAGCATGTGATTTGAGGTAGAGAGACATACAGCAAGGAATTATAAATGAGAATCCGGGACTCAGCTTAGATATCTGAGTATGGAAGTTATTAGCACATCTTCCAGATCTTAGCCCAAGAATTTTTTTTTAACCTCTCCAAAAACAAATTACTCATTATTTACAAATTATAGATGAGAGGACTGTGCTACACTCCCTCTCCTTATCTCCAAGCCACTTAATCCATTGGATTTGACTCACAAAATTTGCCTTCTCTTGCTTATTTGACATCATCATTGCTGCCCTAGTCTAGACCCTTGTTCTTTCCTTATATCTGGACTAATAGTTTCTCCATCCATCCATCCATCCATCCATCCATCCATCCAAGGGTCCTCATGCTTATTCTGATTGTCTTGGAAAGATGGAGGGTCTGCAAAGGAGAGGCAAGGATATGGATGGACAGGATCGACATGGTGACTTCAGCAATGAGCGCTAGTTTGTCAGAGACGCTGAGGATGGCACACAGGTCAGCGGTTCATAGGGTTGCTGTGAGTCGTACTCCTACAGCACCTAATAACAACAGCAACCCCAACACACTTTGTACCCTCTTCCCATTTTACCTCCTTCACCACTAGAGTGTTACAGTCAGGCCCAGTTGTGTGGTTTTCTAGCATAACCACAGTTCAGAATTGTCCAGCGCTCATCTCCAGTCCACGTACTGGACTTGATTCAGTCCTGTTAGGTTCTCCGTTTGACTCAGTCTCTTCCCAACCCAAATGCTTTCTAAATATTTTCCAGATGCTTTTTCTAAAGCTTCGATGACTTGTCAACATCTCTCTGTTGCTTTCCTCATTTCTCTACAAGACCTTGCTTTTTGAAATATGTATGTATTTTTGCATGATGGTGGTTGTCTGCATGATGGTGGCTTCCTGGATTCGTAAACATCATTAGGAGAGAGACCTTGCCTAGTTCTTCACTCTTTATCTGCACTGTTCATTAGATGTCTGTGGGCATAAATAGATGTATATGAATGAATGAATAGCAATGAGTAGAAGAGTGTTTTGTTTAAATGCCAGAAATTATTTTCTTGAGGTCCTTTACACTCCTTGTATAACTTAACACTAATGGAAGGATAAAATTCACTGTGATATAATGAGAAATGAGAGTTTATATATAATTTTTCTTCACAATAAAGTGTTGGGTTGTTTTTTTGTTTTTGTTTTTGTTTTGGCAAAACTGTTTTGTGACTATCACCAGTGACTACAAAACTGTACACAGAGGCACATGTTTGCTTTCTTGTCTGAACAGGAGGGCCTATCGAGATAAATTGAAGTTCTGGACCCACTGTGTGCTAGCAACTTTGATTATATTTACTGTGTTATCTTTTTTTGCTGAACAGGTAAGTTTTATATATTTTATGTATATATTAAGTAGTATTACAGAATACATTCATTTCTGATTATTTTTAGCAGATGATATACATTTTTACAACTTAAAAATTTTAATTTTTCCTTTTATTTCTCAATTGTCAATATTTCAAAATATCTAGGCAGCAGTTATAATAGCCTTTTATAACTTTTCTTCTGAATCATTAGTCTTATTTTTACCTGGAAACACAGTAAATTCACTTGCAAAGCTTAAACTAAAAAGCTCTAGGGATTTTTCCCAAGAATTTGGTTTGAATTTTTAATTTGATTATAATTTTTAATGAGTCTTAAATTTTCTTTCCTTCTAAAAATGATTGCAACATTTTGCCCTCAGCCTTTCCATGGGCACTGTATGAACGCTCCCTCCTTCTCCAGGCTGTCTGGTGGTCTGGTGATAAGGAGTTGCACTCCCTATCCAAAAGCAAGCGGTTCAAATACACTGACTGCTCCAGGGGAGAAGCCTGGGCATTCTCCTCCCACGAGATCTACAGGCGCTGAAAACCCACTAGAGGCTCAGCTATGAGTTGGTTCTGATTTGACGCAGTGAAGTTTTTTGCATCTCAGCCCTCAGCACCTCACTGCCAGATCCCTCGCCTCATTTTCTTCCACCTACGTATAACCTTATTACAGTGAGGAGCCCCAGGCAGAGGGCTTAAGTTGTAGAAGGACAATTTGTGAGGTAAGAAAAAAGAGATGCCAGAATCTCTCATTGACTCTGGGGATGAAATGCTCTGAAGGAAGAAGGCAGGGAACGAGAGTCTTTGCTGAGTGGTCAAATGCAGGGCTGGCGAGTCTCTCCTGGGTCTCAGCTCGAGGTAACCATCACATGGGCTTCCCTAGTTGTGACTCAGAGGAATCACACACCATCCACTGGGAAAGAGGAGGAGTCACGTGTACTGAGATTTTAGAATGAGCAGACCAGACTTTCTGCTGCATATTAAAGGAAAAATCAGGAAATGGAGAGTCTGCAGGCACACTGGGCTGCAATTCAGCTGCCTTCTACTTCCACTTCCCTGGGAATATGTATCTTGTTGGAGTTTTGGGGGTTTGGTTTTTTGGCTATTGATCATAGCAGATAAAACACTTAAAAAAATCTGTAATAGTGGGCACCAACTGTACAACAGGCTGGCATAGAGAAGAAGGACACTACTTCGAAGAAGCAGCTGGTGGCCATGGAAAAGCAACAGGAGGGGCCCCCCTGTCCTACCCTCAGCTTATGGCATTGTGTAATACTGAGGCAGAGAACCAGTGGGAGGGAGGTGGACTGGGAGGATCCCCTTTCATCTCTCTGCAGCACCCTTCTCTTTACCTTCTCTGATCAAACTCCCCCTTACTCTCAACACACACACACCAACCTCACACATCCCTCCAGTCCTGTTCCTCTGCCCCAGGAGCTTGGGTCCTCCTTCCACCCTGGGTACCTTAGGCTTGGGCAAAATCCTGCTTCTAGCTCTTAAGAAAGGGTTGCCTGCCCTGCACGGTTGGGAGAGGAAGAATGAAATAAACAATAGCAATCTTACCAGAAAACCATAAAGAACACATTTTATTTTATTTTTATTTTATTACTTTTGTGTGTGTGTGTGTACCATCAAATCGGATCTGACTGGTACAGGAGGAAATTGTCCCTCCTTCCCTGGCAGAGCATCAGTTGGATTTGAACCATGCGTGTCTGGGATTGCAGTGCAGCTTCTTGCCCCTAGGCCACCAGAGCTCCCCTAGAACACATATTTTTTATAAAGTGTATGAGTGATTATATAAAACACAAAGTATATGTACAATATACAATGTAGATGAATGATTATATGCAAGCCAATAATTTTTTTTAAACCCATTTGTTCTTTTCTCCTTATTTGAAACTTTTTATGAAAACGATAGTACATTTTCTCTATTTCCTATGTATCATAAACACTTCCTGTCAGGGCTTTGAAGGGAGCTTTGGTAACCAGGTGGGTAAGGAGCCATGCTGCCAACCCAAAGGCAGGCAGTTCAAGTTCACCTGCTGTTCTGAGTGAAAGCTGGGCATGCATTTTACAGGCTGTAGGCCTACTGGGTGGTCTACTGTGAGACACTTTCATCTTGACAGCAGTTGATCAGGGCTTTGGACACGTTCATTCTGGTCTGACACCCATGCAAGAAATTTGCATTTCTGCCCCAGAATATATAATCTATTATCTATAGCTTAACATAAACCCTTTGTGATTCTTCTACATTATTAGAGATGTTATTGTTATTGTTGTTTTATGTGCCGTCGAGTCGTTTGCAACTCATAGCAACCCTATGTACAACAGCCCTAAACCCTGCTCTATCCTGTGCCAATCACATTGCCTCTGACACACCCATCCCAATTACCCCAGTCACTGAATCAGTCCACCTCATAGAGGGTCTTCCCCTCCCGTGCTGTCCTTCTACTCTACCCAGCATGATGTCTCTCTCCAAAGACCTGTCTCTCCTTGCAACATGTCCAAAGTATGTCAGACGAAGCCACAGAATCTTTGCCTCCAAGGAGTAGCCTGGTTTAACCCTCTCTAGGATGAATCTGTTTTCTTGGCAGTCCATGGTACATTCAGTACTCTTCTCCAGCACCACAGCTCAAAGGCGTCAATTCTCCTTCTGTCCTCCCTAGTCATTGTCCAGCTCTTTGATGCATAACAAGTGATTGCAAAGACCATGGCCTGTATCAGGTGCACCTTCGTCTCCAAAGAGACACCGTTGCTCTTGAGTACTCTAGAGAGGTTCCTAACAGCAGACTTTCCCATCGCAATACGTTTTTTTATTTCCTGGCTGCTGGTGCCAAGAGTGTTGACTGTGGAGCCGAGCAAACTGAAGCTGTGAACAATCTCAATCTCTTCGCCATCCATCCTGATGCTAACAATTGGTCCAGTGGTGAGAATATTTGTCTTGACATTGAGCTTCGGTCCATACTGAAGGCTGCAGTCCTTGACCCTCTGCAGTAAGTGCATGAGGTCCTCCTCAGTTTCAGCGAGCAAGATTGTGTCATCTGCATAACGCAGATTGTTGATAGATCTTCCACCAATCCTAACGCCATGCGTCTCCTCATAGAGCCCAGCCTCTCGGAGTTTTAAGTACCCGTAACATCTCTAATATATATATTTTTTTAAAATATTAGAGATGTTATGGGTACTTAAAAATCACCTGGAGATCTTACTAAGATGTACATTCTGATCAAGTTCATCTGGGGTGGAAATGCAAATTGGCAGCAGGATATGGAACCTGAATATGAACCAGTTCAAAGCCCTGGTTTCTATGAGAAATAAAACCTAACCAAATTCTGAACTGCTGTTTTTTGCATCACAGCCCACTCCATATTTCAGATATATCCTGTATTTCTAAATGATGCTGCTGCTGCTGTTAAGTACAGAAGAAAATAGGGATAGAATTTTGAATGTAGTCTTTGAAAAAACATTAGGAATTAGTCATTTTCACTCTCAAAGATATATCTTAACAGCTCAATATCATTTAATTTTCTTTGAATAGGAAGACTTGGCAAACAGATATCCCCTTGAAATAAGTATGCATATCATGACTATGTAAAAGTCTCTACTGTAAGACTTTAGAGAGGAAGCTGAGACAAAATAATTTTAATTCTTTAATTCTGGTCTCTCATGGGTACACAGCTAAACATGGTGAACCCACAGTCCAGAGAAAATTAGTGCTTGTTTTTATTTGTGGGGAAGGGGTGATGGAGGCTTATTTGTCTGACTTTTTAGTTGTTATTTTTTCTTTTTTAAATATATAAGTCTGGAAATAATTGAGGCCTTTCTGGCTCTCAGAAAGAAAATGAATACTCTTTTGCCCACGAGGAGAATTAAAATGTATTTCTTGTCTTTCATCATTTAGTTAATTGCACTTAAGCGGAAGATATTTCCCAGAAGGAGAATTCTCAAAGAAGCTAGTCCCGATCGAATCAGGGTATAAAAGATCAGCATTTTGAACATCATCTACCTCAGCATTTCCTGAGCATTTTAAAAAGGCGGAGTCCCAAGGATACCTTCGTGAGAAGCTGCGTGGCCTGAAGCAGGAAGAACGGCCAAGTGCAGCGCTTGTGTTCTGGCCTGACTCTGTCTCACTGGGCAGGAATTAGGCAGTCAACACCCTGGAAACTTGTGCTTGAGCAGCTCTGAAATGGTTTCACTTTTTAAACACAGCATTTGCTCCTGAACCTATCCTATTTTTTATTTAAAAAGCTCACTGACAGCAGGTCATTTCCCACAGCAGCCATTGCAGTCTGCCTTTATTATGAGGTGCCCAGGCCAGGGCAGCTCAGGGCAATTGCTGAGAGGTTCCAGCTCTTGCATTCCAAAGTCATTTGCTCTGCTTTCGCTTTCTGCTCTCTCCCTACTTCTCTTTCTGTTGCCCATTTTACAAGTAATTGGTAATTAAGTCAACTAGTTAGTCTTGCCTTTGAGAATAATGAATTGGGATGTCCAAACATATTTTTATAGATGTTATTTAAATAATGCTGCAGTATCACCATTTATTGGCAGTACCTAAATTATGCATTTTTTTATTCATGTCTAAAATGGCAAATGATCTTCAGCTGAGGAGTTCAGTGATTTATATGTGAAATGCTTACTTCAGCCCCTAAGAATACTGTGATTTCATGTGGAAGCTTAATGACAAAGGGCTAACGTTAAGTAGCAGTGCTACTCTCCAGGTGTAATTATGTTCTAGAAATGTACATATTAAACAGAAGTGCCTCATTTTAGAAATGAGTCATGCTAATGGTACTGATCCGTGTTAGTGGTGGCTTGTTTAATACTCATCAGTGTGTGCTAGTAGCACTCTCTTCTCTCTCTCAGTTGTTATTCTGAAGAGCTCTCACATTGCTGTCAAGTCAGTTACAACTCATAGCCATCCTACAGGACAGAACAGAGGGGTCCATAGAATCTGGGCAGTCTGCCTTGTCCTTCTCCTCTGGGGTGGTGAGTGAGTTTGACCACCAACCTTCTGTAGCAACTGGCCACTCAAACCCAATGCCACCAAGGCTCCTTTGACAAAGCACCAGAGGAAACTTTTCCAGGTAGTATATAGACATCACAGACCACATGAGTCTGCTGCATTTAAAAAAAAAAACAAAAACCCAAACCAACAACACTCCTAAAAATGTAAAAGCTATGTCTGGATCACAGGTATATAAAAACAAGTCATTACAACACAAAACAAACAAGAAGGCCATTACTGTAAAAATAGAAGAATAATTAGTAAAATGTGTATGGGAGTCTGCGGGGTGGGGGAATAGAGGGGAGAGGGGAAATCATAGGGTTGCTTAATTTATTATTTAGAGGGAGTTTGGGTAAAGGAAATGGAAAAGATCTGGCAGGGACCTGAAAAGATGGGGTGATGGAGGTCATACCTCAATGGAGATTAAGTTTATAAAATACAGTGTATGGGAATGATTGTATGAAACACCGTGTGAATGAAGGAAAGTGTGAAACACAATGTATATAAATTTTGTATGCAAATATTTTTTTTTTAAAAAAGTCATTACAGGCCATAGTTTGCTTATCCCTCTTTTAAAAACTCAGAACTCTGGTGGCCGATTGGGTAGCTTCACACTGCCAACCCAGAGGCAGGCCTGCTGCTCTGTGGGTGACAGGTGGGCAGGCTCCTCCCAGGTGATTTACAGCCTCTGAAAACCCACGGGAGGGTCAGCTATGAGTCGGTTCCAACTTGACAGCAATGAGAGTATAAAAATTAGTATGTTTTTGGTACGGGTAATCCCTGACATCCAGCCATATTTTTCTTTCTGTAATTGTAGGGTGGTGGATTTGTGGGGATCAAATTGCCACAAGTCCTTTTTTGAGCTGACAAGTATTTTAGATCATGATCTCAACAGTATTTGTTCAAATCGCATACATATTTTGTAAAAAGAACTTGAAATGTAAATACTGTGTGTGTGCTGTAAGAGTTGTGCATTTCAAAAATGAAACATCTTCTGAAAAGTTTTCTTTTGTCTGATGCTTTCATTTTTCAATCTTTAAAGGGTACATTTGTTGTCTAGATTCAGCAATCACTCGAGCACCTGTGTAGCGTGGAAGGCTTTGTACTGAGCACGTAGGAAACAGATGGGAAATAGTTTCGAGACCGAGGTTAAAATATGCTGGAGAAGGATATGAAGGAGCCATGGTGGCATCGTGCATGCGAGGCTACCAGCTCGACAGTTCAAATCCACCAGTGGCTCCACACCAGAAAGATGAGCCAGTCTCGTCCCGTAAAGAGTGACAGCCTTGGGAACCCAGTGGAGGACCACTATGCGTGTAGCCAACCCGACTGCATTAGCATTGGCTTTGGGAAGGAGAAAACAGATTCTAAAGGGCTTTATCACATAATAAAAAGGTGGAGAGATCTAAATAACATTCTTGAAGTGAAGAACTTATTCTAGAAAGGCTATAGCTAGAGAAATGAACATGTAATTAAGTAAATTGAAACAACAATAACCCAAACTAAAAAGCACCCTATATCCATTGAGTTTATTTTGATTCATAGTGACCCCATAGGACAGAGTGGAATGGTCCCATAGGATTTCCAGAGCTTTCTCCTGCAGAGTAACTGGTGGGTTTGAACACCTGACCTGTCCATCACTAGCTAGTCACTTAGCCACGTTACCACCAGGACTTCTTAGATAAGCATCTCCCATACCTGAGTAAGCGCTTAATTCAAAGCCACCAGCTGCTCCTCAGAAGAAAGGTGAGCAGTCAGCGCTGCTGCTATTTACTGCCTCTGAAAACCCCTGGAGGGTCATTGGTTCTGACTCCATGATGCACAACAAGAGAATGAATATATAATAGCGTGCTACATCAAATTTTACAACAGAAGTTAGTGGTCTTCAAAATTGAGAAAGTGTCAGAATCATCAGTTGATGTGGAATCGTACAGAAGACCACTGTTTAGTGCATGAGAAGGAACACTGCTCAGTGTGCCTGGCATTTTATCAGGGAAGAAACCAAGGCCAGAAAGAGGCCATGCTTTGCCAGAGATCTTCCAGGCAGGCAGTTTATGGCAGAGCCCAAGTTTTCTCTCTTCTGCGTCACCAGTGGCTGTGCTGCTTCCCAGGACAGAGAGGCCGGTGGGTAAAGAACACACTCCCCACCCTCAGACTGCTGGGATTCAGGTCCTGGATCCTGGATGTTGCTTGTTACTCCCTGGTTTTCCTACTGAAAGATGGGAGGTAATTCTGGTATCTACTTGATAAATTTATTGCAATGAATAAAGGAAATGGCTACTGGGAATACAGTGTCTGGCAAATAGTCTAGACTGGCTAACAACGATGGAAGGTTGTGTAAAGATGGGCAGTCTCCTCCTGTTAAAACTCCTGGAGAGTCAGTTATGAGTTGATTCTGACTTGACGGCAATAAGTCTTTGAATAGCAGGTTAAGATTTCCCCTGCTGCCTAAGAATGGATTCCACAGAAACTTGAACCAAAGAGCTGACTCTGTCACTTAATAAGAGTGAAACCTTTGGCAAGACAGTCAACATCATTAGGTTCTAGTTCCTTCCCGAACAAAATGAGGATTTTTTGTAGGGAGCCTAGGGATTAAGTCAGAAATACCTTTCCCAGGATAGGACAGAGATTCCTTTTTTTAAAATAATTTTCTGTACTTTATTTAAAATTTGGAACTTAAAGAATATATTCAGGTGAGATCCAAGATGGTGGCGGAGGCAGAGACAGCATGGTGAGCTGCAGGAGCAGCGAACCACTTAAAGCAGGGCCACCATGGCCTACAGACTTCGGCTTATTGATAATTGAACAGTTAAACAGTTGATGACTGGTCCTCAGTGAAGATCGAGGCTCAACAACAGGAATTCAAGGATTCCCAAGGAGGAATGGGTGAGTCTTACGGCTCCCAACCCCCTCCCGCAGAGCTTGCTCTGTGCCACAGAACCACTGCAGCTCCATGAAGCTTCCACAGCCGGAACCAATGAATTCCCTCACCCAGGATGGATGCTGGGTATCAGCCCTCCTCATGACTGGTGCAGTGAAGCCACCACACTGCTGCAAGGTGGACTTGTTCTGGAGAGAATTCTTGGAGCCAGGATGGCAGCAGTGGGGGAAGCCGGCGCCCGCGCTCTGGCCGGGCGCCCGCGCTGTGGGGGGGGGGTGCCCCCAACACCGCCCATGCTGGGGGGGGCATGCCCCCACTGGCTGCCTGCGTGGGAGGCTGGAGATGGGATGCGTGCCCTGCCATCTGCAGGTTTGGGTTTCCTTGGACAGGCCAAAGAAGATGATTACCTATATAATGGATTGCTGAAAGTCACTGTGAGTCTGATGACAATTAACAGTGGCAGCATGCGCAAGAGGACCGACATCCTAAACGCACCACATATTTTGTTCTGTTGAATGCTTCTGCCAAAAGATGGTTAGACTTGGGGGGAGTCTGTTCACAATTCTCAGGTTCCCTTTACCATATATAAAGGGGGAGGGCAGTGACACCTACTTCAAAATATAGGATGACCACTTATGGGGGGGTAAAAGTGGTGGTGCTGGAATTGGAGACACTATCCCTGACCACATAGTCCTCGGTCAGGCGAGGGGACCAGACTGGAGTAGGGGCAACTGGAGGGGGAGTATACCAGCTAGATCCTGGGTGGGGTTGCCCTGCTCGGGTCGAGCTGTTGCAGCCCTCTGCCCAGGGTGGGCTGCCCTTGGCCCCCGGCTTGGGGCGAGCCGTCGTGGTCCTCAGGGTGAGCTCCTCAGTCCCCAGATTGTGCCATCTGACCCCTGGGTGGGGAAGGAAAAAAAATGCCTAGGGTATCCAGAGAATGTTATCTAGGCCACCTTCTACCACCCTCCCCCCAGTAAACCTGAAAGCAACACCCTCAAAGCCCTTCTATCTGTAACTCACAAGTTTGTTCTCTCTAGATTTGCTCCCTATCCTATAGGTAACCTTAACACTCAGTTTTACTCCAGAATTGACC